ATTAAAGTATTTTTTTAAGTTGGACTTTGTAAAAAAATCGAACTATATGATCTCTTACGTTTAGATAGCCACTAGGATAGTCACCGAGACTATTTCAGTTTTATAAACGTTCGACGCTCACGGTTTTTAGTGACAAGATTCGGCTGTAAAAATAAACAAAACTAATTTTTAGCTTATTACAAAATTATGTATGGTAAGGGCACACCGATGTGTTTGCAAACGTCACTAGAGAACGTATAAGAAAAACGTTTCGGTAAACCGCAATGTATGATACCTATAACCGCTATAAATTTTTGTAATATTTGTCTATAACACCTCAATCACAACTATTCCTGTTTTCATAATCAGTTAGTTATGACTATAGTAGTAGTAGTAGTATCTTCGACATTTAACTAGAAACAATTTTCTAAGAGAAGTGATTAAATTACAGGCTAATTTATATTTGCCAATGAAATAAACGCTAACTTCAGTCCAATCCAATTAACATGACGAAGGCGACGATATCGCGTGAGAAACTTCTCGTAAACTTTTATCAGATCCGCACCTATTGCGACTGATGAGTTGCGGTAAAGTTTATTCGTTGAAACGTTGATCTTGTTCAACGGATTTGGATCAGGATTACGAATGAATCAATAGCTATCCGTACATTTTTTTAATACAAAAATTTAAATTGAAAGTTAAAGCAATGGAATTACTTGTGGCCTTAACTTTGCAATTTCGTGTTTATCTCTTTCCATATGATTTTCGTAAGAGTGCGCAAAGTATGCAACGCATTATGACATTTGGAGTCTTGATTTTATAGGAAATTCTATGCATTAGAAACACTTAAGCTAGGGACAGACTAGTCCCACCTACGCAACGTTTGGCATCAGACACTCTTGTTACGTCTTAGCAGACGCACGTGTATAAAGTATACCATGTTTTCTGATTCGAAGTGAGTGTGAGAATGATTTACTTAGCCTGATGTTTATAAATGAATATATCCATGCCAGAAAAAGAGAGTAAAAGTCAAGCATCGAAAATATTGGGAAGAGTTTATCGTTCAAAATCAAGAGTCTAAATATGCGTTTGTTGCATATGTTGCGTACATGGGACTAGTTTTTCTTTATCTTTAATATCAGTATCATACAAAAGTGCTAGTTTAAGTAACCTGCATTTAGTGAACTCTTGCAATGCTCAGTGATATCTGCTCGACCGTGAAGGAAAACAATGTACAGAAAGCTGCATGTGTGATAAATTAAAAATATTCTGAAGACGTGTGAACGCTGTCAACACGCATTGGGGCAGCGCAGGCGACTAAAGCTGCGTTTCCACCGAGGTAGCTAGCCGGTGCTACGATGCGTAGCGAGGCTGTGGAACGGTGCGAGCGTTTCCACCAGAAATGTGATAGGCCGCTGAGCGGTGGGAAGATGCGTAGCGACGCTGTGAAACGGTGCAAGGATGTGTAGCGGGCTAAAAATATAATTATATCTATGGCTGTTGTGAAAAAAAAGTAAAAAGTTTCAATGCTCAATTTTACAAAGATATATTATTATAAGCACGAATGTTTTAAATCATTTTCAAATTGAATGTAGTTCGTTTTGTTTAACCTCACAACACATCCCTCGCACACATCCTTCCCTTGTTTTGTATGTACAAAAATTTAGAGCTGTGCTCAGCGAGGCTAGGTAAATGAAATGATTCTATTGGTTCTTATCAAACACATTCCTCGCTACGCATCCTCGCACATCTCTGTTGGAAACGCAGCCTTAGCCTTGCCAGGCGATAGGCCAGTGCTAAACAATGGAACGGATATATGTGGTTGTTTTACATTTAGAAGTGTTATACTTACATAAAAAAATATCAAGTATCAACCCACTTATTTTCAGACCATACAAATAACGTGTCATTTTAATTATAAAATAGTAATGAAAGTAACGCGAAGTAAAAGAGTAATCAGATTGCAAGTCCGCAATAAACATATTTTTGCAAGCAATATCAAAATTTGAGCACGTAAGCAAACACTCTCAGATAAGTCAACTGTTTACCCCGACCAGCCAACGCATCTTTAAAAATTTTATACAGAGATTAGCTTGCTAACTGCAAGCCAAATTATCGCCACGTCGCAAACCATTTGGATTCATAATGATTGTGGCGCCGCTGTCATCGCACCGAAATAGCGTAAAACAGATCAAACAATAACCACTTTATCGATATTTTTGAATAATTCCGAATAACTCTATATATACAGTTAGAGTTGTACACCTTGCCAAGAAACTTCAAGCTCTCGTCATGGTACTCAAGAACCCCCTTTTAATCTCCATTCCCTCACAGTCAAACAACTCAAAGGAATCAGCCTTAGACCTTTACATCTTTTGACCAGAACCTTTACAAGGTTCATCGCAGGATTGTTATAACGTTTCCTTCCTTCTTTTTTATTTTTATTTAGCTGTTATGAGAGAGATGTTACTACCATCTCCTGGTTAAGTTTCCTTCTGTCACCTCTTATCACACTCACGGGATAATATAGAAGTAGTTGATATTCTTACACCGTCACTGCACGGTTAAAATAAAACGCCTAATCTTTTTTAATGCTAAATATCACGTTTTCGTCAAGTTTCAACTTTCAAGTCACCTAGAAGTGGTTTAAGTTTTTGATGCATGGAAGTGGTTTAAGTTTTTGATGCATGTGACCTATGTTCACTAGTGGACCAGTGAAGAGTTGTACTCGTAATGATGATGAAATATAGCGTATTGGTGAATTATAAACAAAATTTAGATGATTGTTACTAATCATGTAAATTTCGTTTTTAATGACTACGCAAAATGGACTGATCGGATTTAGATAAAATTGAGCATAATGAAATCATGAGGCGCTACTGCTACATAACAACATTAGCCACCAATTAAACTACCAAAAACACTAAGTGATGGTCATTTTCATGTTTCAGATGTTTTTTTTTATATTTTTGTAGAATAGAATATAATAGAATATTTTTTATTCAATATACATTACATGTGTAATTCTTATTGAAAGTCATTTTTAACTTTACCACTGGTTCGAAAAAAACCCTCTGTCCTGGGAAAAACCAGCAAGAAACCCAGCGGGACTTTTTTTTTAATAAATTTTACAATATAAATGATTACGAACTATTTACAAAATTTATTTTAGAAACTGCTTGGAAGCGATCACCTCATTCCCAGGGGTTATTATCAACCATGTATTCATTTATACTATAATAACCCTTTTTATACAATTTCAGCTTAATAAAACATTTAAACTTGGTAATAGAGAGAACCTGTACACTTTCCGGGACCTTGTTGTAATAGCGTATACATTGCCCCAAGAATGAATTACTGACTCTGTGGAGTCGAGAAACTGGTATCACTAGCTTGTGTTTGTTCCTAGTGTTTACAGAATGTATATCACTTCTTTTACTAAAACTATCTTTGTTTTTGTGAACATACTTTAAATTTTCGTAAATATACTGAGAGGCCAAAGTTAATATATTAATTTCTTTAAATTTATCTCTAAGAGACTCTCTCGGTTTTAGATTGTAAATAGCTCTAATGGCCCTCTTCTGTAAAACAAAAATAGTTTCTGAATCAGCCGCATTTCCCCATAGCAAAATCCCATAAGACATTATGCTATGAAAATAACTAAAATAAACTAATCTAGCTGTCTCGACACTAGTGAGACCTCTAATCTTTTTTACAGCATAGGCTGCAGAACTTAGTCTGCTTGCTAATTTGGATATATGGGGGCCCCACTGGAGCTTTGCGTCAAGAGTGATGCCAAGAAAAACAGTGGATACAACAGGGCTCAATTCCTCCCCATTTAAAATGTATAGTAGTGTAGATGGGTATAGTATTTCATTGAAATAAAGTATTACGTAGATTATTAATCTTACTTGTAGTGTAGGTATACAAACAACAAAAATTCACACAACTTCCTAGCTACTTGTTAAATTATAAACTGTTTTATTAAAAATAATAATTACTAAACTTGAATTTTAATTAGTACGTTTATCTTCTAAACCATCGCTATAATAATCATAAGGAATATGAAAAATAAGTAAATAAATGCAATCCATAAAAAATAGTTTAATTCAATAATCAAAAGTAATATTATTGTTAAAATTTTCCATTGATCAATATAAATTAATATGTTACTTTATTCTAAACGAACCTCAAAACCCGACCAACTTAAGTGATTTTAAGAGACTAGGATTAAACAGAGTGACTTCGTTATTACACCAAGAGATTTAAACTGAATTAACAGTTCGATCGGAAAATTGGAATGCCTCACAGATAATTACCTGACACTCACAGAAAAGGAATTCGCCTGAAGTAGATTCAAATAAGCGCTTTGGAAGGACCAAGTGAGGCGGGCCAATGCGGCCTTTATTACGTAAAAAATAACAAATGCCGCGCTATTCGTGGCAGCTATCAAGTTAAACCAGAGAATTCAATTTCAGTCTCACTCAGTCTCGCTTGATCGAGTGTTTAGAATTGCATAGAGTAAGATAGGTTTTGCCTATATAATTTTTTATACATAACAAATTGAGGCCTTTTATAGTCAGAATTTTTTATCAAAGTTACTTTATATTTTAATCAACGATAGATAGATACAGTTCAGATACAGCAAATGGACGGCCGGTGCATTTCAGATTCTCCCCAACAAGGTGGCCCGTAGAACCGGAGAGTAAAGTAAGTAATGACAAGTTAAAATTAATAGTGTAATCGAATTCACCTTAACCGCATCAAAAACTGCGCAATCCTAAACCGGAATAATTGAATTATTGATTAAAGTTACTTTTTATTAAAAGCATTTACGATCACAGTATAGATTGAGGATATTAAAATACACTATGATTTTAAACTTGTTTACATTTATAACGTTATGGGTGTTTGTAAACAGTGAGGATATACAGCCTTATTCATATTTTTAAACCATCTGACTAGTTTATATACGAAAAAACTATTACACATTTTTTTTTATTTTAGCACAGAAATTCCGCATGGATTACATGTGGGCTCAAACATTTAAAACATTCTATCGACTCCACGATTTAGCAACTAACTGGGAACAGGCGCGGCAAATTTGCGAAGCAGAAGGCACATCTTTACTAGTACCAGGCTCACTTGAGGAAATGGAAAACTTAAAACTCCTAATAAGCAACATGAAATCCCGATATACTGCGATATTTATTGGAATACACGATCAGTTTTCAGAAGGCGACTTTGTTACTATTAGAGGTAACTTATTTAAGTTTGGTTTATGAATACTATAGTTTTTTTTTTATTGTTTCTATTGTTTTTTTAACGTAACCCCTACACTAGGATTTTCTCCGGTGTCGTGGAGGCAGACATAAATTTCACAAGGTCACATATCCAGACCCGGAACAATCATTTCTAGGCTATACAAATACTTGTTCCGTGCGGGATCCAAACACGCGGTCCCTTAGCACTGCAACTCATTGCTAAACCACTGTGATTTAGTTACGATATTAAAGATAAATTAAATTATTTTTTGATTTCATGTTATTTATTAATAAATTTGATAAAGGGTTTGTATTTCGATCGAAATCATTATTCACACAATAATATCATCACCTTGACCATCACTACATCGTAATAGCCCTTGAAAACACAGACTTAGTGCATGTCTTACCAGGTCATCATTCCATATAGCGGGCGGCCGCCCTGCTATCTGGAAATCCCTTATCGGTACGAAGCTGCCACTCGAGAAACTATCTTGCCCATCGGTTATATTTGGAACTAAGATTATATTATAAGCTTAGTTTTCAAATATGAATTTATTGCGTATAACATGTTCCCATTGCCGTAAATTGACCAGAAGCTCTCTCAATTTCGCTTCTCAATTCTCGGTAACGCAGATATTCAACTGCTGTGTTCGAATCCCTTTGGTACTCGTATAACCGTTTTTATTTTATGTCTAGATTTCAGTCCATTTGCATTTTAACAATTAATGTTAAGCTTCTCCTCGATATAGGGGAAAATACCACTTATGATTTTATATAAAAAAATCGACATTCAATTATTATTGCTTTAAAGTGCAAAGGAAAAACGAAGATATAAAATTATATAATACAAATATTATTATCAGCATCAAATCTACTTCGAAGCCACTTGCGTCCAGCGACTTCCTGCATCTTTTTATTCCATATCGTCACTCCTTACCGGTATGAAGCCGCCACTGGATAATATTTTTTTCCGACGGTTGTAGTTATTTCGAGTTAATACGACCGGCCCTATGCCACTTCAACGTACACATATAATCGAATGTGGCATATATTATATAAATAAGGTATTATAATGAATTCTGATTGCACATACAGATGATATCAGATATTAATTTATGAGGAACTAATAAATGTATCATTATTTCTTTAATAATTTTACAGGAGAGACAATAACAGGAACTATTTTGGAATTACTCTGGGCTGATGGTCAACCAGATAACAGAAATACTACCGAAGATTGTGTGGTAATGACAAGAGAAGGCCTATTTGACGATAGGCCTTGCAATGATATTTACCCATTTGTTTGCAAAATATTGGGTAATGAGAGTAAATACAATCAAAAGTGTGATGGATTTGATGTTGGCGAGTTGACACAAAATTATTATTTTTTTAATTATCGTTTTTCTGCACATCACCTTTAACATTCTTCAAAGAGAAAATTTACATTCATTCATTCATTCATTACACCCCCTCACAAGTGCACTGCTGAACATAGGCCTCCCCCAAGGAATGCCAAAAAGCCCGGTCCCGAGTCACCTGCATCCATTGACTTCCTGCATGTCTTACCAGGTCGTCACTGCATCTAGTGTGGGACGCCCTACACTTCGCCTGCCGGTACGAGGCTGCCACTCGAGAACCTTTCTTCCCCATCGGTTGTCGGTTCTTCGAGCTATATGGCCGACCCATTGCAACTTCAGCTTACTAATTCTTTGAGCTGTGTCGGTCACTCTGGTTCTACTGCGGATATCCTCGTTTTTGAGTCTATCACGCAGAGAAATGCCGAGCATAGCCCAGTCCATAGCTCGCTTTTTTATAGAAGAAGCAAACGATCATGCGGCTTACTTGATGGTAAGTGACTACCGCCGCCCTTAAACAACTGCAATACCAGTGGAATTACAGATGCATTGCCGGCCTTTAAAAAAGGAGTAGGCTCTATTCTTGAAGGTCCCTGAGTCATATCAGTCCAGAAAAATCGCTGGTGATAATGGATTCCATAAGAAAGTTGTGGGAGGAAGAAAAATTCTTTTATATCGCACAGTAGTGGACCGCCAATCATCAAGATCGCTCTGCGTTGGATGCGGTCAAGTGGAAGAAGCTGGTACTGGGGAGCCCCTGCCCAGAGATGGGAACAGTATTCCATGTGAAGCCGAACCTGCGCCTTGTAAAGTTGCAAGCGGTGTGCTGGCATGAAATACTGTACTGATCTGCTGAGCAGGCCAAGCATTTTCGAGGCCAATTTGGCCTACTCTTCCAAGTGACCACGAAATTGCACGTCACTCGATATGTGAACACCGAGGATTCCGATACCGACTGAGGCAACGAGGGGATTGCCTTGAAACTGAGGAGATACGACAAAGAGGTTCTTTTTAGCGATAAACGCGCAAACTTATGTCTTCTGGGGATTGAACTCGTCTAGATTTAGTCGCCCCCAGTCTGAGACTTTGTTCAACAAAGTCTCGACTTCAGACACAAATTTTTTCCGGTACTTGGCGACATTTTTACGAGAAATAATGGCACGACCGGTGTATAAAGCATCATCACCAGTGCTGTCGTCTGCATAGCAATTAATGTTACTGGTTTGCAACATATCATTGATATGCAGAAGAAACAGCTTTGGTGATAGCACGCAGCCTTGTGGAACACCATCGTTGATAGGCTTGTAATAGGAGCATTCACCGTCTACTACGACCTTGATGCTCCAATCTGCAAGAACTTCGAAAGAAGTGCTTTGTGCCAAACCCGATCGAAGGCCTTCACTATGTCCAAACTAACGGAAAGGAGATGAACTAGTTTCTCGCCAATTCTGCCTATGTGCTCCGACTTTGCCTTGACCATGACACTTTTGAAGGACCTGGAAGCGGAGTTATACTTCTTTTTAAGAGCACTGGTGTTTACATACCGGGACGTTGTTGCGTCAACCCAGGGGTAGCACTCCTGCTTATAGCGTGATGCAATTTTACAGCAGTGAGCAGCGAATGACCAATGAGGAAGCTCCTCATACGGCCAGAAGTGAAAGACCACGTCTCAGATCCATAGGTCATCACTGGCAACACGCATTGGTTGTACAATATAGTTTTGAGGTTTTGAGGTATGCCTGACTAGAAGATGTGTCATAATCTCCCAAACGCTGCCCAGCCGAGTTGATCCGCCGATTGACCTCTTGGTCAATGTTGGACTTACTTAGCCGGACTATTTGCCTCCATAGAGCTCCCAACAACTAACGGCATAGGTATGACATGGACGTTGAACATGATTTTTGTTTTGTCCATATTCATCTTAAGACCTATCCGTTGAGAGACACTATTCATGTCATTGAGCATATTGCTTAGGTACTCCAGCAATTCTGCCATAGAAAAATATGAAAATATTTATAAATTTCTACGTGGTAGAGCCACACTGCAGCTATATTATAGTTGTAACACGAATAGGTCAACCCGACCGGGGTAGAACCACGCTCTCACAGAATACCAGCTTAAGTCTTCTGGGATTCGTATAGTGATCAACTCGTTTACAAAAAAAAAATATTATAATAATCTGTACACAGGTTATATATTTCACGAAAACAAAAAATGTTATAAATTTCACACTGAACCATTATCATGGCACGATGCATACCTTGTTTGTTCGCTGGAAGAAGGTCGCCTTTGTATAATAAACTCCCCAGAAGAGGCCAGCCTTGTTGTTGGTATGATTGGGGAACATGTTAATAGAAATGTGCCAGAGCCTGACATATTACATATAGGCTTCAGTGATTTGATGTTCCCTTTTCAATATAGAACGATAACAGGTGAGATATTTGTTTACCTAGATATCATACATTCATTACCCATTATAGCTTAATGCTAAACATAGGCCTTCCTCGTAGAATGTTTCATTGGGAGGATTTTGCCGTAGTTGACACGACTGACAGCCGGATTGGCAACCGCTAGTTTTTTTATTGTTTTGAGTTAGTATGACGACGATGCTGCTGCCCATCAGCTGTTTCAGTTTTTCTCTGTCATCTCTTACGATGCCAACTTGACGATATATAGTAGTATTTTGACACCGCCACACACATCGTTCACAAGCATTACATATTTCATGTACTAGTATAAAATAATAGCCATTCATAAAATTATAGGAATTTTAATAGAAGTATGTCAAACTGACGTCATCGTCTAACTAATTATACTCCAACAAATCTAATAAATACTTTTAGACAGCTGTCACATTTATTGAACTAGGCATTCCAACCTGAAATTCGGTACCTATAACATTCGATTCTTAAGAAAAATCGATAGTTGGTAATAATTTACAGATTTATCTAGATTAATAATAGTAAAAAATTAGAAACAGATAACTCAAAACACAAAATGTGTAAGTTTCTTCATATTTATTGTTTACTGCTTATTTCTAGAGACAAAGTTATATAAATTAAAAACTGCTTACCGACTACTTGTTCATATTGCAATAGATTAAAAATAAATTTGTTTAATCACTTTCACTATAACTAGAATTGTCATCGTCAATATCGCAGTTTACATTAACTATTATTTGATTTCTTTCACTTTGTTTTCTCAACCACTTTGGCCCAGTCATTATTTGTGTATTAGTTGTATTCTACAAATCCTCCCGCGGCGGATACCGCAGGGCGAATTATAAGGTACCACCTTTTCCCACGAGCACCTTTGAGTAAGATGCTTCAGTATCATCTGCCATGTTTCATCAACGAATATAATGTTACCCCAATTGGTAATATTTTTGATTTTTCTTAAAAATATTATTTTTTGTATTCATGTCTATAAATAACAATTTTCCGTTTGTAATTTTTTTAATCGTAATCATTTCTTTTTTAAATTGTTCTCAATGACTCAATACTATCATTGTACAAGCCGGCGTCTTATTAACTTACTTTTTTTTACGTGGTAGAGCCATGCTGTAGCAATATTGTGGTTGCAGCACGAATGGGTCGGCCCAACGGGGAAGGATCACGCTCTCACAGAATACATGCGTAAAATAGCAGCTTAACGCTGCTGTGTTTCGTATGGTGATTGTAGAGAACCGGATACTCTTTTAACTGGAAACGAGGCATTCTATCTTAGTCATCAGGGGTGACAACGCATCTGCATTTTGATTCTTAATTGAGGATAAGTGTAGATGGCTATGGGCTACAGCATCCACTTACCATCAGATGAACTGTGTGCTCGTTTGTCACCATTATTCTATAAAAAAAAAACTTCGCCGCAGTGGGATTTACAGAAATTATAAAAAATAGACTTGTTTAACTCATGATTTATATACATACATACATAAACTCTCACGTCTATCACCCAGAGGGGTAGGCACTGACTACGGTCTTCCATTTGGCACGATCCTAAAACACCTCTCTCGCCTCCTTTACTACATATCCTCCTTCTTCTACCTAGCGTTTATCCCGGTTGCTCATCCCGCCCAGCGCAGGATAACCCAGAGTCCGCTTTCCTACACTTCCTCCTCCACTTTGCCCAGTCTTCGGCGTCCGTCACAACTAGCCCATTGGCGCGCATGTCATCCTGCACGACATAAAGCCAGCGTTTCTTGGGGCGTCTTCTACTCCTGGTACCAGGTAGGGTCATGTCCAGGCATTTGTTTCGCACGTAGCTTGCCGGTCGTCGTAACACGTGGCCGTACCAGTGGAGGCGACTTTCCTGCAGCTTGTCAGCAATGTCACGGACATGGAGGCTGCCGCGGATGTATGTATTCCGTACAAGGTCTTTCCGCGTGACGGGACACATCAACCGCAGCATGTTCATCTCCGTGACATGCAACAACTGCCGGTGTCGCTCCAGCACCGGCCACGTCTCACTGCCGTACGTAAGGACAGGCCTTATGGTGGTCTTATAGATCTGTCCCTTCAGCTTGACCGGTATTTTGGGATCACAAATGACACCCGTCACCTCGCGCCATGTCGCCCAAGCCGCTGATATACGGGCCTTGATGTCGCGATCGATATCCCCGGATGCATCAAGCACAGATCCGAGGTACCTGAAGTTGTCCGTGCGCTCGACAGTGTCGTCGCCTATACGGAGAGACGTCAGATCTGTGCTGTTGCAGGCCATATACTCCGTCTTTGCCACGTTTAGCTTCAGCCCGCCGTTCTCAAGCGCCTCCCTCCATGCGTGCACGCGTCTGGTGAGCCGTCCTTTGTCCCCATCTACCAGTGCGTTATCATCAGCGTACATAAGCAGCCAAGGCTGCGGTAGTTTCTGTACGCTGGCTGACATTTCGTCTAATATCACACTGAAGAGATAGGGGCTTAAGACGGAGCCCTGATGCACGCCTACGGTTATGGGGAAGGGGGTGGTATCACCAACAGCGGTCCTGACTATTGAATCGGAGTTGCGGTACATGTTACTTACGATTTCCACGTAGGTCTCTGGTACCAACTTCGACGGCAACGCCC